TCTTTGAAATTCTTGAAAGTAGAGCTCAAATGTAACACATGTCATCATGTAACATGGAATGGGCCTAGAATGTTTGTTCACAGCACAGAATTCTATAATTCTGTTATCACAGTGTAAAATTCTGTGGTTCAGGGTGAACGCTTCACTGGTTGGCCTAGGCTATAACGGTGAACGCCCACCGGGTGAGAATAGACAAAAGACTCGTCTGCGCAGGTGGCCTTTGTAATGATGTTTGTAGTTCCTTTTATAGACTGTATGTCTAAGTTCCGAGTTTTGGACGGGGGGGGGGGGGGGGGGGGGGAGGACAGGTCAAAAATAATGTCTGGGGGGTTACAGGACAGCATGCCCCCATGTTTTTCCCCATAATTGGATGTTTTGCAATTAATTAGGTAGCACAATGCCAATTGGGCTTTCCCGCGCGGCTAAAATTTGGTCTCCGTTTGCGGGTGAAGTTTTGGACCAGGTCGTGGTGTAGGTGACTAACTTTTTCAACCTCGGTCTGCTCTATTTCTGGACCAGTGGGAATGAAACTTGGCAACGCAGCTCTATTCGGACTCGAGTCCGAATTATTCGGACATGTACTTTCTAATTCTGGTTTTACCTAAAACCCCCGACGACAGTTATATTATGTAACCTCCTCACACTCACATAACTCTCTTAGAAGCTGAGTCTGAATAAATATAACATTTTTTTCGGACCCCAGTCCGAATAGATAAAACTCAATTTGGACATTAGAAGGTACTTGTGGACTTTGAAGTTTGTTAAATTAACCTTAGATACTCTTGGTGTCTGGAACACTTTCGTATCGGGTTGCCGAAATTTTAAATAGCTTGAATTTCAACGCCGAGGTGGTAATAGATCTATCTATCCATTGAAGTGTGCTCAAATTTGAACGTTATGTGGCGACTAGTTGTTTTGACCCGATCATAAATGCACGACTACCCCCCTCCGGAGCGGCTTCGCACGGAAGCCGGCTATTTTCCCCTCACTCTCGCGACGAATGTATGTGACCTACAAATCCTCGCCTGACTATTCCGAGCCCGCAGGGTTGGTGGTTTTTTTGATTTTTTTCATAAAAATAAAAAAAATCGATTTTTTTTATTTAAATCGTGATTTAAAAAAATTTAAATCAGATTTTTTTGATTTTTTAAAAAATGTCGACACAGTTCGCGATTTTTGGTTGCTAAAAGTATGTTCTTTTAGTGCAAAATGCATTGTCTTTATTTTAAACTAATGATTAAATTAAGCAACCTCAAAAGAAAGCCTTAATCTGCTATATAATAGTATATATATATATCAGTGAATTATGGCTACAGACAAAAAATGAAGAAAATGTCAGTCTAAAAGGAAGGGGTGGGGGGTAATTATGCATAGATAAACTTGCATTTTATTACAGTGTGTGTGTGTGTGTGCACGCGCTTGTGTTTGTCTAAAAAGAAAAAGAAAATGTTAATTTCAATAATGAAAAAAAGTAAATTGAATGCTGTATTATTTTACAGTGACAGGGGGGAAAGCAGACTTTTAAGCATGATTTTATTAGTCTACTAAACCTTATATACTGTTTTATAAAACCAAGGAAAGGAATTCTGAATATTTAAAGATGTAAAAACAGAATACATTTTTTTAAAGTGATTTAAATCACTGAGTTTTGTTTTTAAAATCAAGTTGATAAAAATTTTTTTAAATCGACCTGATTTAAATCAACCCAACCCTGATTTCAATTATGAAAAAAAAGTCAATTGAATACTGTATTATTTTACAGTGACAGGGGGGAAAGCAGACTTTTAAGCATGATTATATTAGTCTACTAAACCTTATATGTTTAATAAAACCAAGGAAAGGAATTCTGAATGTTCAAATATGTAAAAACTGAATACATTTGTTAAAAAGTGATTTAAATCACTGATTTTTATTTTAAAAATCAAGTTGATTGAAATATTTAAAAAATCAACTGATTTAAATCAACCCAGCTCTGATTTCAATTATGGAAAAAAAAGTAAATTGAATACTGTATTATTTTACAGTGAAAGGTGGGAAAGCAGACTTTTAAACATGATTATATTAGTCTACTTAACCTTATATCTGTTTTATGAAACCAAGGAAGGGAATTCTGAATGTTGAAATATATAAAAACTGAATAAAAATTAATTTTAAAAAAAGTGATTTAAATCACTGATTTTTATTTAAAAAATCAAGTTGATTTAAATTTAAAAAATCAACTGATTTAAATCAACCCAACCCTGCGAGCCCGTCCATTGGTAACTTGAAACAGGGCAATGGCGGGTGTGCGCATCCGCTTGTTTTTCTCTCTGTTCCCCTGTAACATCGCAATGGGGGTATTCCGAGGCGAGTTATATCTCGCCTCGGGGTGCTTGCGTCTCAACGGGGGAAAATAATTTTTAATTTTAAGCATGCTAGATTGAATTAACTTATAAATCTTTTAAGGTTGGCATGGTCTAAAGTCATCAAAGAAAGCTTTGCCATTATTTAGTCATGCTGCCAACATATTCTTAAAGATCACATGTTGTGAGAAGATGCTGTAAATAAAATGGACTCATCCGACAACCCTTTTCGCAAAATCGTAATATGTACACCCAAATTTTAATATATAACAAAATATCTACAAAATGGTTAGTAAATCTGACGGCAGAAATGATTTCTCCACCCAAAAACACATCGGGTAGTCAAGTTTTTCTCTAACACTCCAATTAATTACCGAAATATCGTCGATTATCTTACAGCATCTGCTACTGCGTGGTCCACTGTTAGTATTTTTTTATATGTGGGTCATGCAAATTTTGCCAACCTTTTCAACCCAATAACTTTTTTATGTCTTAAAATAAGCATAATTCTTAGAATTGAAAATTCTTTCTTAGGTACCAAATAAAAAAGGGTTATTTAAGCGAAAAATTAAATTTTCACTGGCATTGCTAAATTAGGTAAAAATTTTATTGAAATGTGATTGGCCGGCTCTGTTTGCAACGCCACGTTCTGAATAGCTCCCGTGCTGTTTGAAATGCAGCGTTCTGATTAGCTCTCATGCCATTTGAAATGCCAGTAGCCCACTTGTAGCCATCGTTTCTACATAATAATATTGTAGTTCTGCCTGAATTGTGGAAGCTTTCTCAGTTTCTCAGCCTACTGAGCGTACTCTAAAAGCTATAACCGGAAATTCAGGCCGGAATGCATCATGACATACAACACAAACTGAGACATAGGCTTGGCCGAGAAGGTGGCCTTCTCTGGGCTAGGCCTTTATCTAATGTGTGTAAGCGTGCACGTGTGATAAGAAAGTAGGTGTGTGCGTGTGTGAGATGTACGTGAGTGTGTGTGCGTATGGGTGCGCGCGCATGAATATTGTTCGTACCATGATTCATGTGTCTACATACACGGTAACCGGGCACCTAGTCTCAGTATCTATGTACACGGTAACCGGAATGAAAATAAACCAATATTTGTCCCGTGCTGTCACTTGTTGAATTAAAAAGAAAAATTTATACACGCGTCTTTTTGGGCTCGCCATCATTACCGGTCAGTGAACCTGTGCTTTCGCATCACATTGTGAGAACCGGTTGGGGTCACCAAAGTTCATTCAAAGTCTGTGCGCTACGAAGTATAGAGCTCTGGAATGGGGGAATTATTGATTTTTTAAAAAACGGTATAGAGTCGGGGGAGGGCTGGAGTTTGAAGGCAACACTGGATGACAAAAACTGAACTTGGAATTCTTAACTGCCCGGTTACCGTGTACGTCACATTGAGACTACGTGCCCGGTCGCCGGTTACAGTGTACGTAGACACCGAGGCTAGGTGTCTGCGTACCGTGTACGTAAACACCCCATCATGTAAAACGCCTTAAGCTGCGTTCACACGGGAGTGGGTGCTATAGAAATGATCTAGATCTACATTAGTACATGTATTGCTATTGTTTGTAAATAGAAAAAAAATTTTGCTGTATTTTACGATTTGACTTAGTGTTAAAACAATACCATGCCGGTTTTAAAATAGAAAATATCTGAAATAGATCTAAATACAGATTACCGGTGTATCGAAGGTTTCAAGAGAAAAATAGAACAGGATCTGATTTGATTGGAGCATATAAGCTTATTTTGTATTTAGAGGTTGTTTCGAAAATCCCTTGTCAATTTTTTTGTTTTTTATAGACTGAATCTTATACACTTCTAGATTTTTGCATGAACCAAGTACCCGGTTTGTACTAAATTTGGTCAAATTTTATGCCTTCATTTAAAAGTTATTACTAAAACCGAGGGTTCAGTTATTTTGTGTCACGCGTTATCATATTATATTTGGTCGATAACAAAATGAGAATTGTAAGATTGTGAATTGTTCTGTTGATCACAAAAGGGATAGTTTAACCAGCTTTCAGAATTCAGAAACCTCAATCTTTTAACCTCAATTCTTTTTATAATCTAAAAAAGTAATCAAGTGATCTAGAAATTTTTTATTAGACAATTATAGTTACCGTACTGAATTGAAAAAGATTGCTAAATGAGAACGCATAAAAGCTAAAGCTTCAGTTATTTATCTCAAGATTATTATTCACTTTCAGATTGTAAAACTGTTTATAAATACAATTGAACCAAGTTGAAATGGGCAGCCCAGTGGAGGAGAACAGTAGCCATCATAGACCGATGACTGCGTAGGCAGGACTGATAAAAACAACCAAACAACAAACCCTTCTGATGTCCCAACTGGAGTGGTTGCAGGTTTAAGACTGCCGTAAGACTAATTATTCCCCCCTCCCCCCTCCCCCCTTCTCACTGTCTCTCTCTCTATCTCTCTCTGTCTCTCTCTCTCTCTCTCTCTCTGTCTGTCTCTCTCTTTCTCTCTCTTTCTCTCTCTCTGTCTCTCTCTCTCTCTCTCTCTCTCTCTCTGTGTCTCTCTCTCTCTCTCTCTCTCTCTCTCTCTGTGTAAACACACGCATACCCAATCAGGTTTATGAATAATCTCTCTTTTTTCTCTCTTTTTTTTTCACAATACAGTGATACAGCTTCAAATCAAGATGGGTAAAAAGTCCAAGAAAACACCTGCCAACAGTGGTGTGACTGATGTTGAGTCTATGAGAGATGAGTTTGAAAGCAACACCTGCCAACAGTGGTGTGACTGATGTTGAGTCTATGAGAGATGAGTTTGAAAGCAACACTGAGTGGAATATTCGCAAACGATTTTTGGCCAACAATGTGGATGAGCTGCCAATGGAAAGACTTGTTTGCTTGTCTCGATGCTTTGTGAACATGACCATGTATGGATGTTCGTACCCCCAGCCTGTTATGATTGAGGTCCGCGAACGAAGCCAAGGTCTTGTTGAAAGTATTGAGGAGGAGAAGCAAGCCGAAGCCAAGCAGAACTATGCAGATTCGTTTATAAGGGCTTCGGACAATTAGTTGGACACAATTTGAGCAGAGGGTATGTAGCTGGTCTTTGAGTCTACCCTTGGAAAATCCTATAATCCTTTCAGAGTAAAAAATTCTTTTTTTTTTTGTTTTTTTGTTTGTTTAATCTACTTCTGGTGCAATTTCATCCCTGTAGCATATTGTCCATGATCTTTTTTTGTTGTTGTAGTTGCTAGTTTTGGTTTAAAAAAAAAAAAGTAAAGTGATCCAATGAATACTTTGTTCAACAATTAGCCTTTTCATCTCAAAATTGCAGTTCATAATTTTTTCTTCCTTCGCCATCCTTGTAACAGCCTGCATTTTTCAAAACATTGAATGATGACATGTCGGGTGAAATAAGGTTACTAGTGGACTTCTCTTTTTCTTTTTAAAAAAAAATGGTTGAGTTTTTTGTGGCTTTTGTGTTCAAGTTCAACAAGTTGTTTCATGACATTATTTTGATCAACCTTTGTTTTCATAAGATATTTACTAGACTGGTTTTTGATAATTTGGCCAATGAAAAAAAATTAATATGAAAATGAAATTAAGGGATAAACCTGTCAGGAATTTTTCTTGTTCACATTTGTAGAAGTTAAATGTCAAAAGCAGAAAACTGAACCCTCTAGAAAACAAAGGACGAACGTGTATTCACTCTGTCAGACAATACACGTTTACTTCAACAATAAATAATGTTGCATTTTCCCTCGCAAGGAGAAGTTTGTTTTACTGAGCATGCAGCTTTTGAGTGGAGCTTGGTTTGTTGAGCTTTCAAATTTGATTATATTAGTGGGCTGAGATGTCTGTAAACATTTATTTGATGGTAGAATAGTTTGGTCAAAATAACTTGGAGGAAGACATAAAGGTGGGAGCTATAGGATATATATGGTGAGTTGGGTGAACAAACCTAGTGTGTGCTCAAACAATCTTTCAGACTATGGTGATGTGATGTTAAAGGGCTTATTGTTTGCTGATAGCTCTGTACAATTGTAGAACCTGACACTCTCATGTATCCACACGTATCTGCCCTGATAAAGCCATTTGTGTCGCATCTTGGTGAAATCTGGCTCTTGTCAAAAAAAGAAAATGAATGGAAGAAACTAACATTTTTCAAACCGTAGGGCAGCAGGGCAATTTTAAAATGATTTTTTGGATTTTACTGAGGGGAAAAAAAACGTTGATCAAAGGCATAAAAAATTAAAATCAGCAGTTTTCCAAGGACACTTAAGATTAGGAAGACCATAAACTTTGGTGGCCATTTTCTCCCTAAATTTGTCTCTGACATCGGGTGCAACAACTCCATCTCTTTTGTAAAAAAAAAACAACCCTCTAAACTCTACTATTAAATTAAAGATGTATAGATCTATATATATTTATATTTAAATTTCTTACGTCAAAAGCTCTCCTTCGGAAAGGCATTTTACACGTTTTCCCGCTTGGCTCGGTCCTTTCAGAGACGTACGTTAAACTAGGAGTTCCCACCTCTTAAGTAACCTAATAGTGTTGATAGGGGGCGTTAAACCCATATCATTTCTCCATTTTTATGTCAAAGGCAGGGAAAATGAATTAACTTTAAGATTTAGATACCAAATATATGTCCAAAATTTGGTGAGTCGCCTGATTTTCTTTTTTTTTTTTACATTTTTTACATTCTTTTTTAGTCCGTGATCCCTGTTCCCCCCTCCCCGTCCCCTCTCCCATTATTTTAGCTCAAACTGGAGTTGAAATCAGGCATATTGAAATAACTGAATATAGATCTACAGGGTTTATTTTTGACACTAGAGCTGGAAACTAGATCACGGATTCAAAATATGAGTTGCCGGCATGCGGGGGCGCGTAATCTCTAAAAATCACACGAAGATGCCCAGTTTCATTCATATACTCTAAATCATTACTGGCTTATGAACAGTTTTTCTTCAAAATTCATCAAGACATATCCCACTTTATGGGAATATTTTCCATGATGAAAGTCCCACAAAAATTTGGCCAAAAAAAATCCCAATAACTTTTTAAATTTTTGAATGGATTTTTAAAATTTATAAACCATAGTTCTTAGAATTTACTTTATTTTCGTTCAAGCATGTTTTTAAGCAATTTGGATCTAAATGGATTTTTTCATTGTCATTGCTAGTCAAAGGGAGGGCAGGAATGGGAATTTCAAGAATCACAAGCAGACATTTTTGGTAAGTCATTAATCCACTATTTCTCTGTAAAACACTTACATGACATGTACTTTAACTATAGAAAAACAACCGAGAACAACTCTCCATGCATGTTGCCTACAAACTTGATCCATCACTCACAAGATTGACCCATTGATTTTGGCCTGAGTGGGTCAATTGACCCATAGTCATTCATAGCAAAAATGAACCCTGAACATAGATACCTGTTTGTTGTCACAGCGCTCTTATGTCAATTGTGCTTGTACCCACAGCACCTGTGTAAATCCAAAGTCTTGTCATGACTTGTGTTTTGGGGCGCTTGAGAGTTTTGTCCTTTATATAAACTGAAGGGTATAATAAGTGAACACAATGCCTTGCGACAATGCTGTGTTTACATTTATTTATGTAATAAATTTAGATTGGTTTTCACAATAATAATAAAACGTTTTTGTATCCTACAGAAGTGTAATGAGGGTCATGGGAGTCGTTCCCTTAGCTGTAGATATGAATCATTTTATAGGTATATTATATTACGAACAAGAGCTTTTCTCCTGGCTCTGGCATTCAAATCTGTTTCAGTTCACTTTTTGTATATTATCCTCAGGCTCTGAGGGTGACATTGGGGGCAACATGCAGACGTCCGGATTAGGAGCTGGGCCAGGGGGGTCGGGACCCCGGAAGCCTATGAGTATGGGCATCCAGTTTGTCAAAGCCTCTGAACCTCCAGATTCATCATTGTCAAAAAGTGAAAACAGCTTAGGTGGTAGCCAGGACAGGTCTCAGGGCAACTCGGCCGGATATCCTGCCAAAAATTCAGGCGGTCCACCTTCCGAACCCCGACCCTTGTTATCGCTACCCACCAGAGGGGGTTTTCAGGCTCAACAGAATCCAAAACATTCGAATGGAAATTTTACTTTTAATGGCGGCACTGGTACCCCGTACCGCTTTGGCCAGCCAGCAGCAGGGAGAGGTGGGTTTGCAGGTCGCAGGGGTGGCTACGGGTCTGGTTCTGACTTTTCTAATCGAGGAGCACAAAACAGCGGACCTATGGGTATGGATTTTTCAAAGGTCTCAGAGGCAAAGCCACTCCTTTCAAAGGAGGAGTACTATAAGTTGTGGAAGGTTGAGAAAGACCAGCAGTTGGTAAAATTCCGTAAACTTGCACATGAGGTAATGGCACTGAGGACTGACAGACCCAATGCGAAGGATAAACTCAATTCAGCCGCAAATCGCGTCCCAATTCGGATTGAGTTCAACACAGAGCCTGTATTCGCTGGGAAAACTACCACCCACTTCATATGTCGTGTGTTCATTGACACTGTCACGGTAGGAGTGGGGGAGGGCTCCAAGGTGAAGGATGCAAAGACAAACGCCTATGAGGCTGCTTTGCAGGCTATCCTAATGCCCTACTTGCGGGTTGTGCAGCTGGATCCCAACAGTCGAGAGCTTCAGAGCTCAAAAGAAGAATTCAAGAGTAAACCACCACCTCCTTCTAAGTTCCCCCTGGCGAGGAATGTGAGTAAGATAGCTCCCTCGTGCCGAGACTCCCCACAAAGTGCCCCAGCGCCGGGGGAAATTCCGTCCCAGCACAAAGAGTCCAACGTTGATGTCGCCTGTTTGAAGCGGCGATACAATGAGTATAAGCCTCTAGAGGACTTTGTGATTGTTGAACCGAAAATACCGATCCCAGACTGCACCCCTGCTCACACACTGCGCCGGAGCGCTGATTTCAACCACATGCTGCTTGAGTACGAATACTTTTTCAAAGGAGAATCTGCCAGGTGTGTGTTAAAGATTGAGAATCAGACGTTGGCGGATGTTAACGCTGGGTCAAAGGTTTCTGCAAAAAATATCGCAGCAGCTCAGGGTTTGAAGAAACTCAGAGAAATGTGTTGGATTATTAAGACAAAGCAGGCTGTGGATTCGGATACTAAAATATCCAAGGATGAAATGCTGAATGAATTAAATGAAATGAATGAGACGTCGGATGTCATAGGCAATGAAAACATTGGACACAAATTGCTTCAGAAAATGGGTTGGTCTGGTGGTGGCGTCGGGAAGGATGGTTCTGGAATTGCTGAGCCTGTTTCACTGAAAAGTGTTCTCAACAGAGAGGGCCTGGGACTCAGCGCCACAAAGGGCATCACGGAAGACTTTCGACGTCGTGTGCGGGAGGTCATCGAAAACTACGCCGCTTCTGAGCGCCAGGAAGACCTGGTGTTCTCCAGTGACTTCCGGCTCGATGAACGGCAGATCATTCATGACGAATGCCGGAAGCTGAATTTGCGCAGCAAAAGCAGGGGCAAAGGTCGTGATCGCTACCTGTGTGTCCGACGCAAGCGGTCAGCGTTTGAGCTGTTTGATCACATCATGTCGTGCGGCGGGGAAACCGCCCGCTATCAACTTGTCCCCCCGGGTCAAGACTCAGAGGGTGGTAGGCCTCCAGGGGGTGCAAAAAATTCCCCTCAACAGAGAATTGGACAGTCAGAATCACAGAACAATCAGGGTGGCAGTATGAACGATAGACAGAATAGTTCCCAGTGGTGGGGCAACGGTCCAAGAGGCCCTCAGGATGGGCCGTTCTGCCATGGTCCCAATAGTGGTGGCCCCAGGAATGGTCCAAATAATGGAGGTGGTCAGTGGAATGGTCCAAATAATGGTGGTGGTCAGTGGAATGGTCCAAATAATGGTGGTGGTCAGTGGAATGGTCCAAATAACAGTGGCCCCAGGACTGGTCCTAATAATGGCAGTCAGTGGAATAGTCCTAACAATGGTGGCCCTAGGAATGGTCCAAATAATGGCGGTCAATGGAATGGTCCAAATAATGGTGGCAGTCCGGGTCAGTGGAATGGTCCAAATAATGGTGGCAGTCCGGGTCAGTGGAATGGTCCAAATAATGGTGGCAGTCCGGGTCAGTGGAATGGTCCAAATAATGGTGGCAGTCCGGGTCAGTGGAATGGTCCGAATAATGGTGGTGGTCAGTGGAATGGTCCCAATGGTCCAAATAATGGTGGTGGTCAGTGGAATGGTCCAAATAGTTGTGGCCGTGGGAATGGTTCCAATGGTGGCAGTCAATGGAGTGGTCCGAATGGTCCAAATAATGGAGGTGGTCAGTGGGGTGGTCCCAATGGCCCAAATAATGGTGGCCGAAGAAATGGTTCAAATGGTGGGGGTCAGTGGAGCGGTCCAAATAATGGGGGCCCAAGGAATATTGCGAATGGTAGCGGTCCGGGGAATGGACAGGGTGTGGGTGGTCCTAATGGTGGCGGTCAATTGAACGGTTCCAGTAGTGGTGGTCCAAGCAATGGAGGGTGGAGGGGACAGTGCATGAATGTTGATAATGTCCAGGGTCAAAAGCCAGGTCATAATATGGGTGGTTTCCATGGTCAAGGTCAAAGTCAGAATGTAGGCAATTTGCAGAGACAAGGTCAAAATGTTGGCCATTTCCAATCACAGGGACAACATGTCGGTAATTTCCAAGGTCAAGGTCCAAATACGGTCAATTTCCAAAACCAAAACCAAAATATGGGTAACGTTCAGGGGCAAAATCGTAATATGGGCAACTTTCAAGGGCATGGTCCAAATATAGGCAACCTCCAAGGACAGTCCCATACTATGAATAACTTTCAATCACAAGGGCAGGGACAGAATATGGGTAACTTTCATGGACAAGCCCCTAATGCAAACAATGTACAAGGACAAACACAAAGTGTTGAATCCTTGCCAGGCCAAGGCCAGAAAATGGAAAATTTTGGTGGACAAAGTGGGAGCGGTTTCCAGGGGCAAAATCAGACTATGGGAGGTTTCCAAGGGCAAGAGCACAATATGGGAAATTTTCAAGGACAAGATATGGCTGTTTGTAATTTCCAAGGGCAAGGTCAAACAATGGGAAATTTCCAAGGGCAGGGTCAGACCATGGGAAATTTCCAAGGACAAGGTCAAACGATGGGCCAGTGGCAGAGCCAAGGTATGGGTAATGCACAGTGGCAGAATAAAACTGTAGTCCAGAACCAAGGCCCAAGTATGAACCAATGGCAAGGTCAGAATAGTACCTATTATCAAGGGCAAAATTTCCCAAATACTGGGTACCCTCAAGGACAAAGTCAGGCTACAGCTAGTTCTGGGAATTTCCCAACAGTAAGTCAGGGCCAGGTACCTGGTCTGATGGGAACGGCTGTCCACAACGCACAGGCTGGATATAATAAGTCAGAAGGCCAGCTTTCAAGCTATTACCAGGCTTCTGGCCAGCAGAGTGGCGGCCAGTCTCCTCAAGCCACTGGTCAGACTTGGGCAGGAGGTCAGGGTGCTTCAGGGAGTGGAGGGAGTATTCAGGGGAGTGCGGTGTACTATTCAACTGCCAGCGGTCAGAATGCTGGCACGTTCAGTACAACCAACGCTTACAATGCCACAGGAGGGCAGTTTACAGGGAAGGAAGAAACTCATGGTGGTGTGGCTCCTGCCGGCCACAAGAAGAAGAAGGTTAAATCTAGCACAGGCAAAAGTAAGAGTAAAGACCTCAATGTCTCTCAGGGGATGGGGAAGAAGAGCTGATGGAAGTTTTGGTTAGGGTTTGGATTTGAATCTAGCGGAAGTAGATTGTGCTGGTTTCCTGGACATGGAATATCCAAATATCTACGTATAATGTGTATCTGCTTTTGTCTATACATGTAAATGTGTTGATGTCATATGTGTGTTTTCGTCGGGCTGAGATTCACATTTTCAGGTCTGTTAAAGTAGTTGAAATTGAAATGTGCCTGTCAAAGGAGTTGATGAGATGTTTTCGTGGGTCTTGAATAGGGTGGACCCCACTGTGTTGTTTTGTTATATTTTCCTTGAAATTGAACTGTTTTCACAATTTATCTTTGTGTTTTTCTCTGTTTTATTTCTATTGAAATGCTTTTAAAGAACTTTAGACTACATGATTTCTTAGCTAAGCGATTATGATTATGATTTAGGGTGACTGTTGATATGAGGGTTTAGTTTTAAAATAATGTCATGAAAACTGCTCTCCCAACCACATGTGCAAACGACCACTTCCCATTCCCTCTCTTGCGATAAAAAAAAATAGCAAAAGGACACCTGTGTAAGTCTGCTGTGCAAAGCGTACGGATCGGATTAATGAATAAATTTCCTCTTTGGAAAGTGGTGGCGCAGAGTTCCCCGCGTCGTATGGATACGATAGTAAAACGCAACGTACAGATAGGGTTAAACATATTATTTGTTGAAGTTGAAGATGTTTTAGTTTTAGAAAAAGTGTTTTCATCAAGAGTCCAATTTTGTATAAGATTGGTGATTGGTTTTATGAGGGATGCAGTGTCGCTTATAATTCACAAAATCTCAATTATTCCCTTGATTCAAGGGTGTTCTGTTTCAATAAATGGAACACATTAGTCCGACATATGGTCCTCTTTGCTAAATCATCTCATTTGTATATTATGTATAGCATATCATGATTAGAATTCAATGGCCGTGTCTCATTCACGTCTTTACAGTGTGCTATTTGTACCTGTTTTGAGTTTGATGCAGTCGGATAAAACCATCTAGAATAACGATTCATTATAAAAATTACTTTTGTCATCTTCTGTTTGAATATTTGAAAGTATTTTTAGGAAAATTGCTTGAAGATGAAAGCGATGATGCTTTGATTTGTAAACACAGAATTTTGGGAAATGAGATCTAGAAGACGGATGAAGGGACATGTGTGCATGCTTTTTTTTTCTTTTCTAAAAAAATTAATCGTGGGATTTCTGTTGTGCTGCACCACTATCTCTGTGATGGTGCTGTTCTCTGGGAAATCAGGATGAAAGAGGATTCGGAAAAGGATGAAACTCTTAAGATGTAGGACAACTGTCTGTTTTCCATCGTTAATTTCTTTATATTGCTATTTCTGTTTTCTGTGGATGGTTCATCAGTGCTCCTTAGTGTTTGCTAATTTCAGTGCAGCATTTTGCTTCTGCGTAAGTAAATGTTACTGTTTTAACTTTATAACATTTTTGGTTTTCAAACACCCATGTTTATGAACAGCATACAGAAAACTGGTTGGGTGCTTAGAGTTATGTCAAGTGAGAGTGTCAGATTAGAAAGGATTTTGATAGAACTGAGTATTTAGTGAAGCAGAAGATATGGATTTAGTAACAGTATTTAGTGTGTGCTGCACACTTCTCTGATTTGCTTTGGCTGCCTAACCAACTCTCCTACTCTTGTCTCATAGTTCTCACTGCTCAGGGAATTGATCAAAAGATTCTACCATTTTTGCTTCAAATGCACATTTCTTTATAATATCAAAATAAATGATCAGTACTTCTCTGTGAATGGGCCGAATGCTGGACAAATCTTCATCACCTCCTAACCGAAGGTTGAGTAACAGTCATGTTCAAAAAGGTTTTTGCATTGGGCTCACTTTTTTCCAGCTGTTTATTTCCCAATAAGTCAGATGGATTTCACAGTGTAACAGCCATTCATTGCTATGTGTGTGTATTTTTTTCCAATTGCTGACTTAGTTTGTTGGATTGAATCTGGAATTTCCTTATCACACAGAGTATTTGGAAATCTTTTAGCAAGACATTTTTATGTTCCGTGTGTAATTGATAGCTGTCTTCTTGTACTTTTTGCAACAGTGTTTTGATCAACAACTGCAAAACCTATTTTTGAGTTACTTTCTTTTTTATGGGTCTTTTATTATAATGTGTTTGCTCGGCTTTCAATGTGATTCAGGGTCTGTTCCTTGCTTGTTCAAAAAACGTTCTAGTTTTCATCATTTACATGCCTACATGATGCATTTCAATAAAAGAAGACTTGGTCCGTCCCTGTTGTGATATTTGAATTATTTGTGCTCACCTGCTATGCGCATCCTAGTACAGTGATAAGACTGAACTTTCAATTTTTTAAAAATCTTCTGACTTTGATGATGTCTGGCATAGCTTTTCATCAGTTACCCAAGATGAGAACGAGTGTACAGCTAACAAACTACAATGAAGGACTGAGATGGTATACTGGAAATATTGGAATAAACTAGCAGACATAGGGAGTTAATTGTGAAATGGTGATGAGAGCTTTTTCAAGTCGAAAGGTACTGGACAACACCATAAACAGGGGACCATTTTAATCCTGGACTACATCACTAAAGATGTAAAAGACTACAGTCATGTATCGCATATTTGTTTCCACATTACATGCATTGTTGTTTCCAGTTCCTTCTCTTATAGTCATGTATACCATGGGGTCTCTGTTGAAGTAAAATTTTAAAACGACATATTTTATGCACTTCATCTTTCATATTCTTGTCTGGCTGCATGGGGAATGTAGCAATTTGTGCGGCTGTGTGAGAGGTCCATGTATTGTTCAAATGGACAGTATAGAGATCTTTGGGAGTTGTTGAGAAATTGTGCTATCTTGAATTGACAGTCATTTCATTATTATTATTGTCTGAAGACAATAAAATTCAAAGAATCAATGCAGTTTGAAAGGCAGTCATGGCCTTTGACATATTATCCAAGGGGGTGCGAAAGAATCAAATTACAACAATAATGTTTACAGTGCATTCCTTTTCTGTACATCATCAGAGCACACATACTTCATTTTAATGTAGTTCTTGTTCATCCTCAGTGGGTCTTTTTCTGCTTAGTCCACCACTCCTCTGTATAATAATTGTTAGTTCTACTCTGTGAAAGTGAGTGGTTGTCTTTTTTCAAGCTTTGTTTCGTTGCTGTTTTCAGTTTTGTGACTAGCATCAGACTTTTGGAAGGTACCGGTATCTTTAATCTTTCCAAGAAATTGTTTCTTTTATGCTGTGTAAGTTCTGAGTGTGGACTTCAACTCACAAATATGGACAATGAAAGGCAGTTTTGTTTTACAATAATAATATACAGTGGAATCCTGTTATAACGAGAGGGAGGGGACCGGTGCAAAATGTCCGTTATAGCAGGGTTCTCGCTATAAGGGATCCAGTAATAAATTCAAGGGAAATAATAAAGTAGGCCTAATCTATGAGTTTGGTGTTCTGTTTAGTTCTTTTTGCTATCTCCCCCCATGATGATTTTGCCCAACATGACCTCTTGGTCTTACTTGATCAAAAATCGAATCGGGTTTCTTTCTCTAGCACTAGTGGTGTTGACTGACAGGTTGGCGATCAGAAAGAAAGGGCTCTAGGCTAACTCGTCCGCTGTGTTTCCCCCACCCCATCACACCCTGTGGTGCATTCCGTCAGCTTGCGCACATCGCACATTCGCTACATCCATCACAGCACTGTGACCTCTCCATCCCCGCATCAGAGAAGAAGTGAGAGGCATGGTAGGCCTTAATAATCTAAACTAGGCTTACGCTGTCCTATCAGGTGATGCGTTCTGCTTGTCTGCGCATGCCACACCCTCCCTACTCAGTCGCTCCGGTCTTCATTGTTGACACACATGGGCTGTCCTATTCTTTGTTTCTCTAGATCACCAACAAGTTTCTCAACTGGCGAGGTTTTACATTATATGTATAATCGGCCTATGCACTGTGCACAGCAGCAGCAACATTCCGCTATAACCGACTCGAATGTGTGTCTGATCGCGCTATAGCAGTATTTTATTTACAAAGGGAAAGAAGAGAAAAAAACGAGGTTTTAGAATAGTGTCTTAATAACAGACTTCTCGCTTTTTCTGGACTCGCTATAGTATAAGTAAGTGGACTCCACTGTACAAGTTTGTCTTGTTCTTGATCAGAGAACTGTAGTACTGTTCACTTGTCTAACTGCTTTGTACAGTTTAGAAGTTAATATTTACGTTGTCTTTTATATGTCTATGTGACTATGTGTTTTCGTTGACCATGCAATAGTTTTTTTTGTTGCTTTTTTAAAATACATATATATATAGTAATATTTTTCCTCATTAGATGTGTGTGCCACGGAACATTTTTCTTATCGCTGTGGTGACGGATTCAATTACCTGATTTTGTTGTTTTGGGTTTTTTTGGTGAAAATTCCTTTATGGTACAGTATGTCGAGGTGTTCTCAACTCTTTCTGCTATGTAAAGCAATGTGTCTAGATCTGAATGTTGTGTAGTAGGCAGTTTTAGCTTTTATTGACTGAACATTCGATAAGCTGATATATAATATGGCTGGATGCAGCTTTCAAGGGGACAAACCAATAGAGGTAAATCTTTTATATATGGACACCTTTGTTTAACAGGTAATTCAAATTGATGCAACAATGTTACGTACAGAGATTGCTTATTTTGTCTATTACAGTCTTACCACCTGCTGACGAAACCTCAGAGGTCCAAAAAGAACATAATACGCAGTCTCCACTTGTGTTGAACTCGCTTGAGTTGATCTTTTTCTTGGGCCCCAGCACTTGTTTCTTCTTTTCAAGTTCAAGTCTCTACAGTCAAGTCAATTTTTTTTTTTTCACTCCCTCTACGACATCAACTCTCCGTAGTTGACTGTATGAATATGTTGCACATCTTGTTGAAGAAAATTTGAAATGTGAGTTTTTTAAATAGGGGAGATGATCCATAGAATGAAGAATGGAAATAAAATACTGTACAAGACATTACTGTGTCTGTCTGAAAAACATGACTTCTAGACATGACGTGGGTTTGATAGTTTAAGTACATGTAATGTAAATGTACTGACAATTTAGCTTTGATTCTTTGAATGGGGATGATGCTTTGTTACTTTGTTGCAAGGAATAAATAATGAGCTGAGATATGCTTGGGGGTCGATGTATTTTGTAGAAATTGGAAATGATTTCACAATTTCAGTTTAGTTTCATACTTCACAGCCAAAGCTTTGGCATCATTTCACAACGACATGATCATGTTGCTGGTTTCTGGAGCAGTTGTTCATTGTGTATACATGTATTGATTCGTCCAACCCGTCCCGAATGTGATGTCACTTCCTTTTTTTTTTTGTCAACTGATTTATTAAACAGTGATGTCATTTGTAAATCTGTTTGTTTTTATTTCCCCCAAGTGGGTGGTTGGCGGGTGCTCTGGTGTGGTTTGCTTCTTCTTTCCTATCATCTATCGTCCTTATCTCCCCCTTCTTCTTTTTATGTTTGTTACTCTCTCTTGAAACACCTCTAATC